CGGGCCCCCGCCTCCGGGGCTGCTGCTGAGGGCTCCGCTTCTCCCTCCTCCAGAAAGAGACTCGCCCCTGGGGCAGTGCGGCTGGTGCGGCCCGGGCCGCCGGCCGGAGGCTCCGGCTGGACGAGGCCTCAAGTGCGTACCTGCGCCTTAGCAAGCTGCGCCTTCGGCACACGACCTCTTCACAAGAGGAGTGTGTGGAATTGGTTCTGGAACATCAGACCATAACCATGAATGCCCTAATTCAGTCGTGAAAGGTGTAGTGTAACAGGACAACGGGCCTGTTCAGATGCTGTGTTACTCAGCTGCTCTTGCAGATACCGCAACAATGCATAAAACCATACGAGGTGTAAAGGGAGAGTAAGCAAGGCTCTTGCCGAGTGCTTTTCAGTACTAAGGAAGCGTTGTGTTCTTCCTTCAGATACCTTCTTAGCAAAGGGCTCAGCTACTCTGGATAAATTGAAGGACCTCTGTAACGAAGGGAAAGAACATCCTTCCATGCTTTTGCAGCTCTATACGCAGGTAGTATCTTTAAAGCATTAAAAACTCTCATTGTGTAGGGTATGGGAGAGGATTGGGTGTAGGAAAGAGGATATAGCAGAAAGGGATTTCTTTTATTTGGGGCTTCCATGAACATCCATGAAGCGCAGGGCTGCTCTTGTCTGGTTTAGAAGAGAACTTGGAGTTGGCAGTAATTTGCTGGTACTGCAAGAACAGGATGGGTTTTGAGTTTACATTCACTGTCAACAATCTTGCCATACTTTTATCTTGCATCTTATGTAAACTAAATGTCAAAAATTACCCTAAAAATGTAATGTTTTGTAAACCATAACAAGTTTATATGATTATTTTGATTATTTTGCTGGTAACATTTTTACATTGTATATCTTGTTTTCTTAGGCTGTCTTAGACATTACATATTCTGAGGAAAACCAGCTTGTGGATGTAGATTTTCCAGAAGAATCTTCCTTGCAAAAAGTTAAAGAACTTATTAATATTCTTTCAGAACCGGAAGACCTAGTGAAGAAATGCAACATAAATGAAGAAGTGAGTACTAACATTATTCAGCCAGAAAATTAATTATTTCATTATTTAAAAAACCTAAACAGGTTAGTAGCAGTTGTATTTTTGATGGGCAGAATTTAAGATCTGAAAATTTTTCAAGTCTTACTTGTATTTAAACAGTGATTCCTGAAAATACTTTTTCAAATAACTTGTTGGGTGCTCAGAATTCCACATTTCATGATTCCACATGCTTTTGGCAGTTTAAATCCAAAGTATTATGCTTGTGTCTGTGACTGTTGCTGCTAAGTACAGCCTCTGAAGTTTGAGACAATATAATACTATTTGCATGTGTGAGTGTGTATATGTGTAGTTCAGATGTTTTACTTTTGGATTAGCCAGTTTGTGGATTTTATTTCAGCCCATCAACATCCTTGGTGCAGAGCTGTTAGAATGTCTTTACTGGAGAAAAGGCGCCCTGCTTTATATGTATTGTCATACAGCAAAAGAAAGGAGCAAATGGCTACAGGAAAACAGTACCATATTTAAAAAGGTAAAGGAGATTAAAAAGTTTTATGAGCATGTGAATACGGTTTTAAAGTTTGATTCTTCACTTCTAAAATGTAACTTGGCATTTTAAATAGGGTTTTGGGAAAATCATAGCAAGAAGTATTTCTGGCTATCATTATTTCATCAGAACTTACCTAAAAGAGTTTTTTTTCTTCCTTGTTTTTTAACTGTACTCAGTGTCTTAATGATGGAGTCCATTACTTGATGAAGATGCTTAGCTTCAGATGCCCTCTTCAGCTAAATGAAGATGTCTCACTTCAGGATAAAGATGCAGCTAGATTACTCAGTGAAGGTAAAACCAACTCCAAAACCCTTATAACCTGCTCTTAAAAACTGCTCTTATGGAATGCTTTATTACATATTTTTATTTGACTTCATTTGTATTGAAAAAAACTGGCACTTTTTAGGGGAAAAAAAAAGGAAGAGACAGACAAGCTGGCAGCTTTGCCCCCACCTGCTTCTTTTTGACTCATGGATTTTAGGAGCTGGCAGTGCTCATTTTCTCTTGTTTTTGAGTGCATTGGAGGAAAGGGAACTGAGGTGATGGGTGTTTCAAGCAGAGAATGTGTTTTACAACCGTCCAGCTGTCAGTTGACAAATGGTGAAAGCACAGGTACGACTGCAGAGGGTGTGTGATGTTTGCCTGTTGGTCATCCTGTTTAAATCCAGGAGAGCACAGATAGGAACACAGAATTACTGACTTCACACAGGTAGCAGATATGTGCAGAATTGGTTAGATTTGGCAAACTTATTCTCTCTGTCTGCACTATATGTAGTTTTATATAAGTTGCATTACTGTAGGACATTTACATGAGGATCTGAGGCTGCATCAATGTGATGAGGTAGGGTGGTGCAGCAGGAGGGGATTTGTAAAGTAAAGCAGCTGGTGCTGAGGACATATGTCCATGCTGTTGCACACTCAGAACTATCTCTGCTCTGGCTGTGGGGAGTATGGAGCATCTTGCTTAATTTCATCTGAAAGTGGCATTGCTCCAATTCAGCTCCACAGTGGAAAGCCAAGTTCAGTAACTGATGGGTAGATGTATTTAGCAGGAATTTTTTTCAGTGACCATGGACACAGTGGCTTTCTATTCAAATACGAAAGCTGCTGCTGCTTAACCGGTGTTAAGATTATGCTCAAACAATATCTTTTAGGCTTAAATTATGGGAGGCACAGAAGTATTGTAAAATGATATAAATAAGCATGCTTGCGCTTAATGGATGGTAAAGAAATACTGAAATTATTGGTAAGATAAATACGCAAATGCAATTATCAGAATAGTATTTATATGGCAGTCTTTTGAGTTTTTAGAATTATGGAGGAACAAAGTGGATAGAGTAATGAGCAAGATCTCGATCCAGATTGTCTTCTGGGCACTGTTAAGTCATCTCATGGTTAAAATTTGTGGGTTTTGGCTTATGTCTTTAAGATATATTGCCTTTTTGGAATATATATTATATTGAATATATGAAATAATATTAGACTGCTTTTTTTGATTTTTTTTCGAGTGTTACTAAAAATATATGAAGTCATCAAGCTGTGTAGTTGCTTAGAACAATAGAGTACTCGATCTAAATTATTTTTGCAGGTATATTTAGTGACACTCACTTACTGGCAATGATGTATAGTGGAGAAATGTGCTACTGGGGACTGCGACACGGTGGAGAAAGGAAGCAGGAAAGCCTGGAGACAGTAGCTTCCGTCCCTAGCAGTGACCTGGACTGCAGATCACAGTGCGTGTTGTTGGATTTCCGAGAAACTGGCAAAAACATGTTAACGAAGTATGTGGCTGTATGTGAGGGACCTTTAAAAGACCAAGGGTGGAACACATCAACAGCCAAACAAATGTTGTGCTACTTCATGAAATCTCAACACTAAAATACGCCGCTTTGGCTATGCTGGAAGAAACTTTGTGCCCCAACAGCACGCATAGGGAGGTGGTTTGTCCCTCAGTGGTCCCACCGTTCTTCCTATCAAAATGTATACTTTTCTTGCATTAAAAACACGCATTCAAAGAACTCCTGGCATTCGGGTCCAATCCAGTATTTCTGGGGAGGAAAAAAAAAAAAAAAGAAAAAGACAAAAAAACCGTCTCGGAAACTGACAGGCGAGGTTGACTCTCTCCGCCCAGCCTCCGGCGCCGGCGCGTTAACTCCGAGGGGCGGCGGCGGGGTTCGGCGCCATGGCGGCCGGCGGAGCGGAGGAGCGGAGCGGTTTGGAAGCCGTGGTGCGGGGTCGCCTCCGCCTCCTCCGGGAGCGCTGGACACGGGGGATCCGCGAACGCGGCGGTACCGCCGCGTTC